TCTCTCTCTCTCTCTCTCTCTCTCTCTCTCTCTCTCTCTCTCTCTCTTTCTCTCACTCGCTCTATCTTTCTTTCTATTTTCTTCGCATGTTCACATATACGTTGTGTTGAGGTCTTTCTCTCTCTCTCTCTCTCTCTCTCTTTCTCTCATTTTCGATGTAAAATAGTACGACGGGATCGATGATCCACGAGATTTGAGATCGGTATTTTGTTGTTGTTATTTAAAATTCCCAAAAGGGAATTCCTCACCATTTTTACCGATCTCTCACGCGAATTCGTTTTTCTTTCTCTACGAACGACATACACACCAAATCGATTTGTAACAAACGAATATATCATCATATCTCTGCTATGCGTGCACTTTTTTATTTATTTTGTTTTGTTTTTTTTCTATCGAACAAGTCTCTCTCTCTCTCTCTATCTCTCTTCTTAGCTTTCTTTTTTGTCTCTATCTTTGTCTCTGTCTCTCTCTCTCTCTCTTTTTCTCTCTTTCTCGATCGATCCCCCATTTGGCGGCGCGAGACTCCACACTCAACGTCGTTGCTTCGTTATGAAAGTTTCGATATATATATATGTAATCGTTTGAAATCCTATGAAAAACCCCGTCGTCTTCTCCCTCCCCCCTCCATCCCCCTCTTATTCCACAAAATAAGAAAAAAACCCCTTTCGCGAACTATTGCGATAGAAATAAAAATTGAGTCGATCGATAAACAACACAACACAATCCCCGAGTAAGTAAAAATTTCGATTGATTTATTTTTATTATTGTGATATCGCACCGACGAGAGTCAACGTCTCTGCTGCCAAGAGTAAACACGAACGAGAGTAGAACATTTTCCTTCCTTTTTTTTTTCTTTTCTTTTCTCTTCTTCTTCTTCTTCTTCTTCCTGACTAAATTCTCAATCTCGTCGTCATCGTGATCGGTCGTCGTGTCATTCGTCGTCGTCGTCATTAATCGAGCGAGTTTTCCCTCCGGCGGGGGCGTATGTGGCAAGCGGGGCCACGCTTGGTTTATATACGTGTGTATGTGTGTGTTTGTGTGTACATAGATACATTATGATACATTATTACGGGGAGATCAGTGGCGCGAGGGTGGCCGCCATCGCTAACTACAACCACCGGGGGGTTAACAACTTTTTTTTTTCGTTTTTTTTTTTTTTTATTTTTATATTATCCCGATATCTCGAAATGTGCAGGTACGTAATTGTTTAGCGTCGCGCGTCGGAATCGTAAGCGCCGGGATTTCCCGTTTCAAGGATCGGCACGCGCCACGTTTCCGACCTTCATTCCTTCTTTCTCTCTACCCCTCCTTCTCCTTCTCTTCCTCCACCATCCTCCATGCACCCTCTATCAACTCTCTTTTTCTTTTTTTCTTAAATCATCTCTATCTCGAATTCAAACTTATCGTCGATTCGGGGGAGATGCAACATGATGTTCGGAATTAATCTAAATAATCGACGATGAATCAGAGAAAGAGAGAGAGAGAGAGAGAGAGAGAGAGAGAGAGAGTGTGTGCGCGAGTGAGTAAAGAGAGTTAGAGAGAAAGGGATAAAGAGTGAGAGAATTGAGAAAAAAGAGAGACAGTTCAGCTCTTTCGTTTGTTAGCTGTTCTCGATAAAGAAAGAGCACCAGGTTTCGTAGCCAGCAAGGTTGGCTGGCTCGCACAACCCCTAGCACCATAAGCGTTGAGAGAAATGTATACGTGCTCGCGTATATGCATGCACGCACGCACGCACGTACGTGTGTCCGTTTCTATTTTAATTATCTCATCCATGCGTCGTACGTAGGACGTCTCTTAAAAGATATAGGCCACGGCGGTCGTGATCGTTCTCGCATACAACACACCCCCCCCCCTGTTTTTTTTTCTCGCCACAGGGGTCCACGTGTCTTTTCTTCTTCTTCTTCTACTTCTTCTTCTTTTTCATCTACTTTTTCTTCTTCGTGCGACTTACGATTAATCGACGGAGAGTTCTCAACGCCGGCCGGCTAGGCGAGCGATACCACGTCTATCGATTCTTCTGGGACTTTCGAGTAGTAGGGAAGAAGAGAAGGAGGGGGTTAAGGAGTGGGAGGAGTAGGAGGAGGAACAGGAGTCTAGTAGAAGGTTCTGGATTTTCGTCAATTCCCGTCGCAATCGACTGGGAATGGCAAGCTGTTCAAAAATCTTTTTCCCTCTTTCTTTCTTTCTTTCTTTCTCATTCTTTCCTTCGGTACTCTCTTCATCTACCGCATCGCCGGCCCGGGGGCGTGGACGTTGAGAGCTCTGATCCTCTTCTTCTTCTTCTTCTACTTATCACTCTTCATATCATTCCTATATTCCATACTTTCACTCGTTCTAGTTCGGTCCCGTGTATAACGTCCTCGCTAAATGTTTTTTATAACGCCATTCGATCGCCATGCTATCAAATTCGAAGCTCGTTATTGATGCGAGCAACCGAAGAAACGTGCAGATGGAGGCACAAATTTTTGGAGGACGGGACCGAACGGTCCGAGTTAAGAGGCCCGAATGCCTCTTCCTTCCTTCCTTCCTCCTTTATTTTTTTCTTTCTCTATATGTGTTTGTGTGGAGGGGACCCCATGACAATCGCTCTTTATTTGCCTTGCGGTGTCAGGGGATAGAAATCGATGAGATGACTCAACGATGTTAATATTGGGGGCTATGATCCTACGCACATAAGCGATTCGTGCGTACTACTGCTGCTCGCGTTATTTACACCTGAACCACCAACGTTTGTGCTACCACAGCTCGATGAGGTTAAATGTTGCAATTGCTGTTGCTGTTGTTGTTGCTGTTGTTGCTGTTGGTGTTGATGATGGTGGTGGTGGTGATTATGGTGATGTTGTTGTTGCTGTTGTTGCTGCTGTTGTTGTTGTTGCTGTTGTTGTTGCTGCTGTTGCTGCTGTTCCTGTATCGTCGTACTCCTAAGAATATCGTCCGCCGATAGAGGAGTTAATTTCCATCCAGGCATAAAGTCGAGATCCAAGTCTGGTCCGATGTCAACGTCGAGAAGCTCGTTATTGTTGAGTGGATCGAGAGGTGACTGACTGGAAAGCGATAGCACACTACCCCAATTGATCGATCTGCTATCGTCGCTATCGCCGATACCCGAGTCCGCGTCCGTCTCCCCGGAAGAAGTTGGTGGCATCGGGAATGGGGTTAACCTGCCCTGTTCGGGTGGTTGAAGCTGCGCAATGGGCGCGGGTATTACCGGTTCCATGGGCGGTGGACTCCTGTCCCTTTCCATCTCGCGCTCCAAATACCTTAGGGTATTGCAAATGAGGACCGACCGATGTAAACTGGGATCGGGGAACTGACGGTACTTGGCCAATTTACACATAGAGATGTTGAGAACGGTCATTCGTCTCTGCCGATAGCAGGCTCTACCTCGTCGACACCAACTCGACCTGGAGCCCTCGCAGCACCTTTCGTTCGCGCGGTAACTCGAACCCAACTCGAGGTAGCTCTTCCCGTTCTCTTCACGTCTTATCGTTGGCGGCTCGTAATGATGGGGAGTTCCCCATTGAGGTTGAGGCCTCGACAATTGGTTGTAACCGTTGTTACCAATCGGACTACCGGAGGCACCGCGTTGATGATAGTAATGTTGCGGGTGATGATGTAGCTGCACCACCGTAGAGGCATTCGCTGCCGACGGGGATGTTGACGATTGCTGCTGTTGCTGTTGCTGCTGTTGTTGTTGTTGCTGCTGCTGTTGTTGAGACGCCGAGTGTTGCTGCTGTTGCTGCGACGTCGAATGTTGTTGTTGTTGCTGTTGTTGCTGCTGCTGCTGCTGTTGATTACTCCCCGATGTCGGTTGACAGGGATTAGCTTGCAAGCAGGGCGACGATACCTCCATATCGTAATAAGATGCTTGCGTCTGACTGAGCGGCGGTGTATAGCTATCTTCCATAGCCCACCAACTACCCTCAACGCGACCTAACTTTGACGGGCTTTCGCCCATGTCCATATCGAACTCCATGCAGCCCACACCTCCCTCCAGTTTACGTTTTCCTGCCGTGGCCTGCAGACCCATCATTGCACAACTCTGAAAAATAATACATTCATGTTAGAACTAACTATAATACGTTTAAATATGGAAAATAAGAAGAATTATTTGACACATACAAAAACGTCGTTCTAGCGAAAGGTAGAGGATCGATGGGAACGAAGGACTATCGTCAAATCTTTGACTATCTTTGACTTCTATATTAATGCTATTACTACTTCGAAGTAAAAAAGTGAAAGTATACATTCGTGCAAGAAAGCACGCACGATTACGAGACTTTAGAGTCGTTATCCTATTCATAATGTATAGGAAAATAATTTGTTTAAAAGAAAAAAAAAAAAAAAAGAAAAGAAAAGAAAAAGAAAAAGAAATCGTTTGCTCGTTGCAATTTTGAAATAATTTTCCGAGTTACTAAAGAGCGTTAGCAGGCAAAACATGATAGCATGACCGTGAAGACCTTGCCGATTCTAGATACTCTTTTCGAGTCAAGAAAGCGAGCGAGAACGAAACACGAAATGACTCAGAGGGTCGGCTTGCTGACAGAACATTGCTCAATGACGTCAGACGTTTTCCCCTACCTAACACGCGTTCTCTGGAAGAAGTCATCGTCGGAATGGATGATCGAGTCGGACTTTGAAGGGAAACACAGAGCGAGAGAGATAGAAGATAGATAGAATGAACAAGAGGGAAGGACAGAGGGACCGTTGTTACTCGGGAGAACTCGTAGAACTCTGATCGAGCAAGCAATGCGGGTCTCCCCCGCTCCTCTCTGCTTATACCCCACCCCCTCCTCCCCCCTTCTTTCCCCACCTCACCTCCCACAGTCATGACAAACGCACTTCTATTCATCTCTCATCTTTCTCTCTCTTTCTTTCTTTTTATCTTTTTTTTTCTTTCTTTTATCACGATAACACAGCACGATACGAATTTCGCGGGGATACGAATGAGCTCGGTGTCTCGTAACAGGTGTCGAATAGCATTGACCCTTGCTTACGCGACATTTATTTCTTTCTTTCAAGTTGTTAGCCAATTAGAGCTGATCGAGAACGGAGATTCTACGCCAGGGGGATGACAATTAACCACGTGGACCACGTTAAAAGAAATCAAAAACGATAAATAATAAGTCTCTCTTATCGAGAAGTAAATATTATTTTTTTAAATATCAAATAAATATATAAAAAAAAAGAGAAAAAAAGAAAATGAGAGAGAGAGAGAGAAATGTTAAGTTGATAGCCACTGACGTGACAAGAGGTTTAGTCGAAATACCGCTAGATGTCGCCTACGGTGCATTCCTCGGCCCGTCTCATCCACGTGGTATGCATATGACGTTTCATTTGATGTGACAAAAAAACACGCGTATTCTCGTTGTTTAACAGATACGAGACGGGGAGTAACCCATGACTCTTTTCTCGCTTGAATCTTTTTTAACAATGTTGGCAAGAAAGATCACGGTAACCGCAAATAAAATATGTGTTTAAAATCCTTACGACGATTACGACTCTTCTTTCATTTTATTTTATCATGGAGAGATAGAAATTTTTAAAAAAAAAAAAAAAAAAAGAAAAGAAAAATAAAAAAGAATTCGTAAAAGACTAACATAAGTCTCTTAATTGATTCGTTGAATTCTTCGATAAAAAAAAAAGTACAAGATTTTTTGTTGTCGATAAAGAAGGAAACTCACTTTACCGCGTACCTTTTTTTCCTTTCATTTTTTCTCGCGAATATTATTTAAAAATATGAAATAATTTTTATTCAGCATGAATACGAGTAAGAAGCTTTGATGTTGAAAGAGGAATCAAAAAAAACAAATAATAGTAATAAGAGAACGTAAGAAGAAGATAAGAACCCTTAAAAGAGTTGAAATAAGGTCTTAGGGTGTCTGATCGTCATTTCATTCTGTGTCTCAGTTGAAAGAGTTAAATGGTAGGTATAATAGTAGGTCCGTAGTGTTTCTCCTTAAAGCCGATAATCGTAAAACGTGGTCTCGGGCACTTGTTGAATCGAGCGCGGTAAACCATAGGGTGGCCACACCACCACCACCATCACCACCACCAACCGGGAGGTACCTTCCGTCGTAACGGATTAGTCGTGTGCCGCAGAGAAACACACGCTTATTTAACTCGCCATAAATCAAACTCGAGAAGAGAGGAACCAAATCGTATATACGAAGAATACATTCTCTTATTTTCTTCTTTTCTTCTTCTTCTTCTTCTTCTTTTCATGTTATGCTTTTATTTATCCTTTTGATCCTTCCTCTTTTTCTTCTACTTGTTATATATATCTCAGTCGTATTTGTGTTAATATTTGCGTTAGCAGTTTTAATTTAAGTTCGTTTATCGACACGTTTTACATGTTTTCCTCTACACAAATCTTTCCACATTGCTAGAGTATATTTTTTGTTTCTTTCTTGTTTTTCTTTGTCCCAACAAGTAGTGGTTGTGTTATCTGGTCGTGAAGTTTCGAATGAAGACACGTTTCGCGCAAATATATCCATCGAAAAGCAGCACATATCAGAGACCAACCAAGAGAGATGACAAATAAGTGGAGAAGGTTTGCGGTGGATCCAGCTATGTGCGACGATGAGGTAATCTTTGCCGCACGAGTCGGAGTTATCTAGTCGGTTCAAACGAACGTATCACGAACGTACGAGCGTACGAACGAATATATTAGCGTTAATATTTTGTTTGGTAAATATTTAAAAAAAAAAAATAAAAAAACGAGCCATCTTTTTCTAACGAAAATCTAATTAAGAACGAAATCTTTTGATTTAATTTTTTAACGTGTCAATTGTTATAACGCAAGTTTTGAATCTTTTATTGTAAAGGGTCAATTATGACCCACATGGCCCCTTCCCTATCTTAAATTATTAATTAGAAAAAGATTGTGTGACGATGGTAGAAATGAAAATCTACTCGTTAAAAGCTACGTATAAGAGTATGTATAAATTGATTCGACGATTTCCTCGTATGGAATTAAAAAAAGCTAAAAGATTCGAGAAGCCGAACGAACGAACGAACGATCGACTCGAGTAAAGTAGAAAGAACGCAAAAAGAGAAGGAGAGAAGTGAAGAAGACTCGAGTTGGATCCGGCTATGCGCGATGATGAGGTAATGTTTGCTACAAGAGTCGAAGTCTATCTAACCAGGTCCGTACTCGATCAACTTAAAAAGTCGTACAATATTACACGACTTTAACAATAATATTTTAAATCTCTCAAACAGCTCAATTATCTTTCCCTTCTTTTATATATACATATTTTCATCTAAAATTTAAATACAATAACAGGAACAACACACAGTAATAATAATATTTATAATAATAAAAAAAGAATGAGAAATTATTTTAGAAATAATAAAATCGTTAAATTTCGAATAAAAAATTAATTAAATTCTCGTCAAATATAAAAAAAAAAAAATGTATTATTGGATATTTTTATTTATTATTTAAATTCGTTGGGTCAATTTTTATTGTAGTTTTTTTTTGGATAGAATATGATTGGAAGTTTATGTAATTTTAAATAATGACAATGTGTTAGCTGCAAAGAGCTGTAGATTGAAGGCACGAGGAGGAGTATAGAAGCTTCGACGACGACGACGATCATCGTCGTCGTCGTCGTGACGGCATGACGTCAACCGGCCGTGTTATTTTCGAAAGGGAACTCGACGATAGCGACCTGCAACGGCGAGATCGCCAAGCTTGAAAAACAGTCGACTTTGCGGCGACTAACGTAGATACGACGAACAAAACAGCGTCAGCAACATGCATTAACATGAGACATTATTTTTTTTTTTTTTATAAATAAATCAACGATAGTTTCCTTAATTTCAAATATAAATCTTTTTGAGGAAGTAACCGAACATAATTTCTTTTATTCGATTAATAATTACAACGCGATGCCCCAATTATATTATTTCATTTATCAATGTGTTTTCGTAAAGGTTTATTAATGGACGTCAGCTAATAACCACTTTTAAACGTTTTTTTTTAATAACTTAAGCATCAATTCATTGAATACAGAAATATTAGAAAATAATAGAACGTGTATATTTTTGTCATTACCTATAAAATACAATTTATTTTGAGAGATCGAATTATTAGGATCAATGAAAGAAAAAACCTGCCGCTAGTACGTATGATACGTAACACGATCTCCATTTTGAAATTAATTTACAAAATTTATTTCTAATTTAAAATTAGAAAAAAAAAAGAAAAGAAAATTATATAGAAAAATTTTGAATAAATCGACGCTTATATATATATAAATAGAAATACGAGGAATAAACAATCAAGAAGAATAATATCGAATGAACCGACAGTTAATACGAAATATATCCGATAAAATAAAATATCTACGAATGTCATCTTTAGTGTTGCTTTGTGATTTTTAGATAAAATGTTTCTTTCTTTCTTTTTTGTTTTTTTTTTTTTTTTCAACTTTATCGAATGAAAAATTGATTGGAGAAATACGTCGTTGAAATAAAAAAAGTTCACGATTTTCGAAACCAGGATGTATCTAATTGAAAGTATAAAGTAAAGTTAGGTATTTTTTTGACAGAGTCATCGCGATCCTGTATGACGAACGTAAGCACGACGTCGAGCGGTGTAAAGTCCGCGGTAGATTAGCGACGTGCTATCTAACAACGAACGTCGGATAAGATTGCCAGGGCATTCGTTTGTAAGTATGAACTAGCTTCAAGGACTTGCAACGACACGCGCGGCCGAGCGCGAGCACACATACACATACATATATACATACATAAATATACATGCATATATATACATACATATATATATATATATATATGTATGCTCTCTCTCTCTCTCTCTCTCTCTTTTTCTTTCTTTTTTTCTTTCTTTCTCTCTCAATGTTTTTCTCTCCAATTATGTTTTTCATAATGAAGCACGATGTGCGCGCCGTTCTCAAGATCTTATTTGAATCTAGTTTATTAATCTCAAGTTTTCCCATATTCGTCTAAAATTTATTAAACTCCCGCCGTCCTTCTAAAAAAAAATCCGAAAGAAATATTTAATATTGTTAG